AAAATCTTCAGCACTGGAGTTAAAGTTCGGTTAAGGTTTAACAGACAACTCTCTGCGTGTCGCAATGAGTACACCGGCCCCGTATAATTGGCCCGTCCCAGCATAATCATGATCGCGGCGTCACACAACATAACGACCATCAAATAACTCAAAGTTCGAAATACCATCCAGAAGCCACGTTTCAGTTATAACAATGACATCGTATTTAGACAAGCATGTATTACGGTAGAAATCAGATGTTTTAGTACACAGACCCCGTGCATTCTGATTATTCTATTGCATTTTATTGCAAATATCCCCCCATGAAATGAAAGTTACGAAGAGACGGCCCCCAGTCCCCGGCGGCCCCGCCATTCCTGGCTACGGTGGTAACCATGGTAACGGCGGGGCAGGGGGTGCTAAGAATCTCCGGTGGAGGTTCGGTTGCCACCTTAGACGACTCGACCTGGCAACGTACAACGCACGCACCCTGAGGACTGACGAGAAGATCGTGGAGCTGGAAGAAGAGATAGACAAGTTGCGCTGGCATATTATAGGATTATCCGAAGTCTGAAGAGAGGGGGAGGACACGGTAATCCCCGAATCCGGCAACTTGTTCTATCACCCTGAGGGCGACCATGTGTCCCAAGGAGGTGTCGAATTTATCGTCCACAAGTCTCTCGTTAACAACGTTCTAAAGACTGTGATTGTGTCGACGACGGTTGCGTATCTTATACTCAGAATCACCGAACAGTATTCTTTGAGGGTCATACAGGTTTACGCACCAACCTCGGCACATCCCGATGAGGAGTCATCAACCGTCAACTAAATGTTACCTTGTTTTATTTAAAATAGAGTATTTATTTCTTAAAGTGGATATTTTCCGGCTTTCTTCTTATTTTAGATTATGACTACATATGAAATCAATTTGAACACTTACTTGTTTTTATAAAGGGCGGCGAATGCAGGGCTAAGAACTAGTCTCGTTATACTTATTTAGCTGTCATATTATTCGTTTATTCGAATTTCGACCTTAGCTTTGGTTGAAATTACTATACAAAAAAAACCAATCTCGTAAGGAGTGTGTTTGTACTGGCGTGTTCAAATTTAAACTCAATTAGTAGCGAACGAAGGTTGAAATTATTTAAAAAAAAGAACTAGTTTCGTGGGGGGTTGACACATTCCGAATATCACTACGATTTTTTATAAAATATTACGTACTCAATAACCTAAGCTATAAATTTTCAATTAATATTTATGATATTATTTTAAATGATTTTAATAAAAAAAGCATGTGTCGCGAGGCGAGTTGGAGTAGGCGAGTCCATTGGGTTAAACAGTGTGAAAACAATTGCGGCAGCCTGGATAAAAAAAAATTGAGATAAGTGAGTATTAAATCATCTATGAAAATTTTATGATCGTTTATATTAACTGCCTATTTTCCAAGAAGTGTTCGAAATTCGAAATAAACGTAACTTAATGCATAATATCTATTCTATTAAAATTTGAAATCGATTAACCTCACCAAAAAATTTGATATTTATAAGCAAAAATGTTTTTTTTAATACAGACAGCATAGCAGAAGAGAGGGAGGGAGAGAGATTGACACTGTCGGCTAATTTCACTCATGACAAAAAATGTTTTCTTGTTTTTATATATTTAAGTTTTTATAAACTCCGTAGATTTCAACCTCAAATTATGTAGTTCCCTAGATTACAAAATTTCATAGATCTACTGAAAAATCCGTAGATTTGGCAACGCTGAATCAAGTGCACAGAGTACTTTTTATAAACCGAAGTCAAATGTTCTCGTTCGTGTATAATCCTTAGCCCTCGTCCACAGTGCGAGCCTAGCGCGGTTGCGATGACGGGCGCGAATTATCAAACATATGAAACCGCCGTTTGCGTCCATAGTGTAGTGACTAAGGCGGACGCCTAGCGCGACGGGCATGAGCGAGATAGCGCGCGTAGTTTTCAAACATTCATATCCGCGCGTTGTGGCCACACTACAGGCCTAGTCAGCAAGCGACCCAATGCGCGGATGCGGGGGTATCAAACCAGTTCGGTCTTATCGCTCGGCGTAAGAGCGTCTTCATTTTTTTTTTGTTAAAAAATTTGTATCTTCTCTAGCGATTTTAGGTGATATTTTACTCAGGACGTAATCAAATGTTGACATGGACATTCGAGTATACTCAAAGAATTTTCTAGGGTACAATCTCAATTCTTCATACAAATTAAAAAAAATCACCATTTATTTGTCGGTTTTTATGTATTTCGTGCACACCCTCTCTAATGTTCAAAATCTCCCATCTCAGGATCGGACTGTCTAGTAGAAATACTAAATCCTCGTCCATATGTTTACAACACCTGTAATATATCTAAGCACACCAACAGCTCGCTCGTCACTGTGGCCACGGCACGCGCCCGCCGTCGCGCCCGCAACAGGCTCAAGTCACCGCGCATTCACTGTGGACGCACACATAGACTTAGAATATACTAGCGTACACAGCCCGCAAACTCGTGACCAAAGAGTATAGTAACTGTCCTATACAAGAACTCGTGACTAATGAGGGCATCCACGACTTTTTCTGCCACCAGGGCGGCGCCACTTTAGAGTAAGGTAAAATATTTGACAGATTTCATAGCGGGGATGATAATTTCTTAGGAAAATGTAAACTTTAAGGTTTCTTTATGTATTATTAGTTATATTTTATATTAATTACATTAGAAATGAATAAACCAAACTACAAATATAACTAAAAGACGACTTTTTAAAAAAAAAAGAGTTATAATGTGCAAAAAATTAAAAATCAAACCACTGACGCATTGTGTTGTGTATTAATATAATACTCTAGATAATGATAAACTATTATTTAAAACTTATTTCTCAATTAACTGACATTGTGTATCAAAAAATTTTACCTCAGTCACAACTAGCGACATCTGGTGAGTGGAAGATTATTAGCCCTCATTTCGATTTGTCATTGTTGCGTTAGCTAGTGATGTGAATTTTACTTACAAAGACTATCGAGAAATGATTGTTAAGGAAGCGGGAAAAAGATTTAAAAAAATTGTTTAGTGCACGAAATTGATTAACTTCAAAAATTAACAAAATTTTTACCATGATAGTTCTAAAATAATTAAAAACATTCATATAACATGTTCCTGGGAATAAGCTGAACCTACCTGCCTTTTGTTGGATTTTAATTCAAATGTAAAAATTTAAACTTAAATCAGATCGCTAAGTTGTATTTTCGAGTTATGATCTTTGGAGAAAAATATTTACTGCCACGGACAGTTTCCCCGGAATTTCTTTTTGCTATGTGCAAAAAGAAAGGCCAATATGTTTATGAGGCTTTATCATGCATCTTCATCTGTCCCTGAAAAGTTTAAAGTATGTAGGAATAAACCTATTATCATTTTAGCTCCATGAATTTTAAAAACATAATGATCTTATTAGAGAAAAGGGCACCAAGTGTCTAAGGATACAGATGCACTCTCTATTCTCTCAATCTCGGTATGGTTACTCATTCATGGATTGACCGCAGCAAGTGCAACTTAATCTCACAGATCTGTTGATCCGCGCAGCTATTACTTAACCACGAGTTCCTCTTCTCTACGATTAACGCTGTAGGCGATGAACCACGCTGTTTAAGTCCTCGGCACAATGTCGTCGGCCAATAAGCATGAATCAGGCATCGAGCGTTGTGAGTATCAAAAACTGAAATATATACTATCCTGGCATACCTTTTGCGCACGCGCATTGATCCACGCGTCTCATGCGCGGGCGTTTAGTGACACTTCAAGAGTATAACTAAATATATTATATCTAACTACGCTAAAAGTTTTATCACTGTGACGTGAGAATGTAATCCGAAGCTCCACGGAACCCATTGGGGTAAATAGCGTGATGCTATGAATATTGCACTAGTGTGACCGTGAGGTGCAGGTGGTGAAGTAAGGTTGTACATTTAGTTGAGTTCATAATGGCTTAAATAGGATAATCCCAAGATTTGTCATCTTTAATGTATTACAGTTTTATAATGTATCAAAATATGTCTCTATTATTATCTAAAGTTTTCAAAGTAACATTTTTGAAGTCTTATTATAACAAGCATGGACGTATAAATAAGGTGGACAGAATTTTATTAAGAAAGGACTGATACACTGTAATGGCGGCGATGCACGTATATTTGCGTGTTATAAAGGGTTGCCATGTGAAACAAAATTTCCCCATTTTCTTTTTTAAAACAATCTGTCAAAATATAACATAACTTTGATGAAATACTAATTTATTATTACGTAACTAATATAAATAACACATTAGACGATTAAAAAATGTAAGAATTTAAAATTTACATTTTGATTGAAATCGAATTGAATAAAACTATTTTTACGGATTTTATCGCGATTAATTAACTTATTTTACATGCAGCCGTGTAGTGGCGGTCAAGAATATCCACTAACCCATATCCTCCCGTGGGTGTCGTAAAAGGCGACAAAGGGAAACAGGCAGGAGGTGGGCAGCAGCATCTTCCTGATAATAGCCAAAATTACAATAAAAAAACTGCGGTTGCCAACCCGCTCGCCAAGCGTGGCAACTATGGCAAATACCCCCCTATGAATGTAACAAAGAGACGGCCCCCAGTCCCCGGCGGCCCCGCTATTCCTGGCTACGGTGGCGACCATGGTAACGGCGGGGCAGGGGGTGCTAAGAATCTCCGGTGGAGGTTCGGTTGCCACCTTAGACGACTCGACCTGGCAACGTACAACGCACGCACCCTGAGGACTGACGAGAAGATCGTGGAGCTGGAAGAAGAGATAGACAAGTTGCGCTGGCATATTATAGGATTATCCGAAGTCTGAAGAGAGGGGGAGGACACGGTAATCCTCAAATCCGGTAACTTGCTCTATCACCGGGAGGGCGACCATCTGTCCCAAGGAGGTGTCGGATTTATCGTCCACAAGTCTCTCGTTAAAGAACGGGAGTGTGTCGACGAGGGTTGCGTACCTTATACTCAGAATCACCAAACGGTATTCGCTGAAGGTCATACAGGTTTACGCACCAACCTCGGCACACCCCGATGAGGAGGTGGAGGAAATGTATGAGGATATCTCTAGAGCCATGCATTCCTCCAAAACCCAATATACGGTGTTAATGGGAGACTTCAATGCAAAACTAGGCACAAGAGAGAACGGTGAGCTGAAAGTAGGGAATTTCGGAATAGGGCAACGGAACCCAAGGGGCCAGCAGCTGGCGGACTTCATGGAGAAAGAGGGACTCTTTATGATGAACTCTTTCTTCCAGAAGCGGCCCCACAGGAAGTGGACTTGGTCGAGCCCCGACGGTTCGACAAAAAATGAGATTGACTTCATTATGACGACCAGACGACAACTGTTCAGTGATGTCTCCGTGATCGCGAGGGTGAAAACTGGTAGCGATCACCGAATGGTTAGAGGCACACTGAACCTAAACGTTAAGTTGGAGAGGTCTCGTCTAATGAAGTCAACGCTCCGTCCCCCTCGTGCTCTGTTCCAAAGTCCCGAAACCTTTCAGCTCGAGTTACAAAACCATTTTCAGTGCCTAGAAGACTGCAATGAAGTGGACGATATGAATGACAAGCTCGTGGAAACTGTCCATGCGGTCGGAGCTAAGTTCTGCAAGACCCGCCGCAGAAGAACACAAAAACTCTCCGATCACACTCTTAATCTCATGGCTGTTAGACGGGAGATGAAGCTACATTCTTCAACAGATTTGACAGTTGCCTGTAGCAACTGAACAGACAGATCTCTAAATGCATGCGGCGGGACTTACGCAACTTCAATACAGCTCGTATTGAAGAAGCGATCGAGCGGAACCAAGGCTCCAAAGTCTTTGTCAGAGATCTGTCTGCCAGAAAGAGCCAACTGTCAAAGCTGAAGACAGAATGTGGCAGCATCGTTTCCGGGACGGCTGAGATTTTGAGTGAGATTGAGAGGTTCTATGGGCAGCTGTACACGTCATCGTTGGAGCCACACGCAAGTGTGAATAACAATCCAAGAGCGAGTCTCATCCGACACTATTCCGAAGATATCCCGGACGTCAGTCTGAGCGAGATTAGAATGACTCTCCAGCACCTTAAAAACGGTAAGGCCCCAGGCGAGGATGGAATTACAGCGGAGCTTCTGAAAGCGGGTGGAAGACCGGTACTTGAAGTCCTTCAGAAGCTCTTTAATTCCGTCCTCCATGGTGGCATTACACCGGAGGCGTGGAGCAGAAGTGCGGTGGTCTTGTTCTTCAAGAAAGGTGACAACGCTCTCTTGAAGAACTACAGACCGATTTCCCTTCTGAGCCGCGTCTACGTGCTGTTTTCGAGAGTCATTACGAATCGTCTCGCGCGCAGACTTGACGACTTCCAGCCTCCCGAACAAGCCGGTTTCCGAAAGGGCTTTAGCACAATAGACATACCCTTCGGCAAATTGTACAGAAGTCCGAAGAGTACAATTTGCCACTGTGTCTGGCGTATGTGGACTATGAGAAAGCCTTTGATTCCGTCGAAATTTGGGCGGTGCTGCAGTCCCTTCAGCGGTGCCAAGTTGACTGTCGGTATATCGAAGTGTTGAAGTGCTTGTACAGTAGGGCTACGATGGCTATCCGAGTACAGAATCAGAATACGAAACCTATCCAATTGCAGAGAGGTGTAAGACAGGGTGACGTCATATCCCCGAAACTCTTCACCGCAATTGGAAGACGTTTTCAAGCTTCTGGACTGGAAAGGATACGGTATCAACATCAATGGCGAGTACATCACTCACCTTCGATTTGCCGACGATATAGTCCTTATGGCAGAATCGCTGGAGGACCTAAGCACTATGCTCAATGACCTCGATAGTGTTTCCCAACGGATAGGTCTTAAGATGAACATGGACAAAACAAAGATCATGTTCAATGTCCATGTCACACCTATGCCGGTAGTTGTTGGGAGCACTAAGCTCGAAGTTGTTGACGAGTATGTTTACCTGGGACAAATAGTCCGACTAGGTAAGTCCAACTTCGACCGAGAGGTCAATCGACGGATTCAACTCGGCTGGGCAGCGTTCGGGAAGCTACGACACATCTTCTCGTCAGACATATCTCAAAACCTGAAAACGAAATTGTACAACCAGTGCGTGTTGCCAGTGATGACTTACGGAACTGAGACGTGGTCATTCACTGCTGGCCGTATGAGGAAGCTCAAGGTCGCTCAGCGAGCTATGGAGAGGGCTATGCTCGGAGTTTCTCTGCGTGATAAACTTAGGAATGAGGATATCCGCAGTAGAACCAGAGTAACCGACATAGCCCAACGGATTAGTAAGCTGAAGTGGCAGTGGGCCGGCCATATAGCTCGAAGAACCGACAACCGATGGAGAAGAAAGGTTCTCGAGTGGCAGCCTCGTACCGGTAGGCGAAGTGTAGGGCGTCCCCCCACGAGATGGAGTGACGACCTGGTAAGACATGCAGGAAGTCGATGGATGCAGGTGGCTCAGGACCGTGCTTTGTGGCATTCTTTGGGGGAGGCCTATGTTCAGCAGTGGACTTGTGAAGGGCTGTAATGATGATGATGATGACATGCCCGACGTTTCGGTTGCTTTCCAGCAACCGTGGTCACGGGGGACTGAGGTGATTGACGTCCCGATGTCAGTGTTAAACCGGAGTACCTTCAGCTTTTTTAATTAATAATTTTGGTCCGATCTACGCAGAATGAACTAACTGTGTCTTGAAGTCTTGCAGTTGTACGCTTGGGTTTAGTTTTAATTTTATGAATTACAGAATCCCAAGCAGCCTCCCTGGTTACTACCGCCTCTCTATTGAAATTAGGATGTTTTTTAATTTCAATAGCCTCACGTATCATCCTTGGCAGGAATCGATGTTCTTTCGCAAGAATTTGTGGCTTATCAAATCTAATGTAATGGCGGGGGCCGTCTAGGATATGAGCACAAACTGCGACGTTTCGGTTGCTTTTGCAACTGAAACGTCGGGAATATAAAATAAGTTAATTAAACGCGATAAAATCCGTAAAAATAGTTTTATTCAATGTTTGTTCGAATTATTTTATTTCAATCAATTGGTAGATATTAGTAGGAAATATAAATAAATAAATAAATTTCGATTTAATTTTTTTAATTTTATGATATATTAGTTTACAAACATTATACAAAAATTGTAAAATATTATTGGAACGAAATATATTATAAATATTTATTAACGAAATACATAACAAATGAACATATTATAGGTAACCAAAAAATTAATATAAAATTAATTTTCAATATATTATTTAAGAATTAGTATGAAAACATTTAGAAACAGCATGGTAGCGATCACCTCATTCTCAGGGGTTATTATCAATCATATACTCTTTAGTAGTACACCCTAAAAATCCTTACTAAATTATTTTTACATGGTAAACATTTTAAACTTTGATAGATAAGGCCTGCATATTTTCTGGGACTTTGTTGTGAAAGCGTATACATGAAGGAATTACTTACTGACTCTTTTGAGTCAATTAATTGGTATAACTAAATTGTGATTGTTCCTAGTATTTACAAATTGTACATCATTAAATACAAATACATACAATAAACTTTCGTAAATATACTGAGAGGCCAAAGTTAATATATTTATTTCTTTAAATTTTCTGCAAGTGTAAATTATAGTTATTATTTATGACAATAAGTCATAAATAATTAACATAATTTACTCATTTTCATGAAAAAAAAAACAATGTTAAAATACTTTTTGTTGAATCATTTTTTTAAACAACTGTTTTTTACTTTCGAAGGTTCTTGAAATCCCCTCTAATTTAGAAATATGGTGAAATGGAATCGCCAAATATCAAAAGAATTATCTTGTGCTCTATACCTGCGAATTTGTGCTGAAATTCCAAGCTTACAAAAACCCTGTCATTGGCAATAAACTTTTTTAATATCTTTGTAAGTATATACTTTTGTTGTCTTACATTGTACATTGTAATGTTTTCCTTAATAATATTTCGTACAATCATTTCGCAAGTACAACAAATATTAAATAAATCGTTAGATGGAAAACGTAAACCTCCTAAAGTTTTCAAATTTATTAATTTATGAAAGAAATGCCTTTCTACAGTATACAAACGCGCGGGGCATTTTTGGTATTAAATTCCTTTTGTTACATAATGAGCAATGCTACCCGCCAGATATACTATTAACTTACTAAAAAATGCTTAAAGCCGCATTATGAAAATCGTAACAAAAAAGTGCACATAAAACATTCTTAAGAGGTTGTTGGGCAAACATATATACCGTACCCGTGCCAACGTGGGTAAACATAGCAATTTTTTTTATAGGATAGGGTGACAAACGAGCACACAGTCCACCTGATGGTAAGTGGTTGCTGCGGCCCATAGACATCTACATTTATCTTCGTTTGCGAATCAAAATGCAGATTCGTTGTCACTCATGAGGACTAAGATGGAATGCCTCTTATCTAGTAAAAAGGGTCTCCGGTTCTCTACACTCACCATACGAAACACAGCAGTGTTAAGCTGCTATTTGACGCTGGTATTCTATGAGAGCGTGGCCCTTCCCCGGTCGAGCCGACCCATTCGTGCTACAACTATACTACTAATATAGCTGCAGTATGGCTTCTACCACGTATGAAAAATTTCCCAAATTTCGGGTAATTTTCCCTATAAATAATTAACAACACTGATAACGTGACTCATGACATAAAAAACACCTAAGAAAGTTGATTCCTTGATGTTTTTTAATAAAACCACTATGATTTTTACAAAATTTATCGACGCAAGACGGTATATTGATATTTGTTTTTACTTACGACTACTACTTCTTGCAGATGACGTTTGTTGCGTAATGGCGGGCGCTAGACTTATTATTAGTGTAAATGTATGCGTGACCCCTTGTACGTACAAGGGAGCTGACTTATTATGGGTGCCTCGCTGAGTTGTATAGCGAGATTCAGTCCGCCTTATTTATACGTCCATGAAAACAAGAATATACTTACTAGTACAAATAACGTAGAAATAGCTCCTTTTAATAAATATTTTTTTATTCTACTTTTTCTTTTATACTTCTCAAGTGAATGTTTGCTGCAAATTGTTGAGTTTTTCTTTAGATGCCAACCAACCCGTCCAACGTTACCCGTTACCCGTCTAACGTTACCTTAACCATTTTTCTTATTATAGAATCCGGAGGGAATCTGTTTGACAAACGGCAAAATAAATTTACATTTATAGAACTCAAACCGAGGATATATTTTCTTGAGGTGTGGGCAAGTCTATCAATTCATTATAAACATTCAAGATAAATATCGACATTAATTTTGATATAGTTGAGTCAATCCTTAGCGTACATATAAAATCTACACTACTATTATAAAGAGGAAAGATTTGTTTGTTTGTTTGAATTGAATAGGCTCCGAAACTACTGGACCGATTTGAAAAATTCTTTCACCATCAGAATCCTGCATTATCCCTGATGAACATAGGCTATATAATATTTTTAAAAAGTTAGGGATCCGTATGAAAACTTCGTTAATGTAACCCAAGGTGTGAAAAAATACCAAAAAGAATCCTTATATCGCGTACGCTGCGGAAACTATTGATAATAGAGCAAAGTAATGTCCTTCAGTTTTATAGAAGATATCAATATCTACAAAAAAGTCTGCGATACCATATATTTAACTATTACAGTTATGTCACAATAACTACTTTTTCATGTTAAAATGTGAAATTGTAACGCCGGTACAAAATAGGCCACATTATTCTTATCAGTATCTGTGTTATGCATAACCACCAATTACGTTAACCATGTACATAATTTTAGTAACATATTTCACTTTTTAAATCTTTGTTAATTCAGCAACTGTCTGTCGTGATGTCTCTCTCGAAGTTCGCATGTCGCAAGGCGCAGATGCGTGATATACGCGGGTGAAACCGCGGGGCACAGCTAGTATTTTGTATAAAAAATATATTTACCAATTTCATGCAAGTTATCTACAACGTTACTTTTTCTTTGCAAAATATCAAAATTAACAAAGTTATTGAAAACACATGGAAGTATAAATGAGTCTATGTGAAAACATTATATATTTTAAATAGTATATAACACAAATTTTAACCAAAAATAAACGCGTCATAACATTGACGACGTCTTTAGATTACAGGATACACAGAACAATCAACCATTTTGGAAAAATGTTACTTACTAAAAATAACCACAATTACACTCCAAAAAATTAAAAAGATTATTGATTGCGTGCCGACTTGTGCCAACCTGTTATTCAAAATAGGTTACAGAGTCATGAGATTTGGTATCCTTTTCTATCTTGCATTTTGCCATAAGGAATTTTCTTCGCCCTTGCACAAAATGTCGGTCTACAAGCCAGTATATTCTACGTCCATTGTATAATCACAAACTAATAAGAATGAGGGCTAATAATTTTCTGTTCACCAGATGTCGCTAGTTGACACTGAGGTAAAGTTTTTTGTTACACAATGTAATTTAATTGAGAAGTTGGTTTTAAATAAATTTTATCATTTTCTAGAGTATTAATTTATACATTTATTAATATTTTTTTTTATAGGAGAGGGAGCAAACGAGCGTGCGGCTCACCTGACGGTAAGTGACTACCGCCGCCCATGAACAACCGCAACACCAGGGAAATCTCAGATGCGTTGTCGGCCTTTTAAAAAGGAGTAGGCTCTTTTCTTGAAGATCCCTAAGTCGTATCGGTCCGGAAAAATCGCTGGTGGTAATCGATTCCACAAGGAAGTTGTGCGAGGAAGACAACTTCTTCTAAATCGCACAGTGGTGGACCGCCAATCATCCAGATGGTATGGATGGTATCGCGAGTTTTGTCGCGATGTGCGATGGTGAAATTAGGCGGCTGGAATTAGTCCGAACAATTCCTCAGAGCACCCCTCGTGATAGAAGCGATAAAATACGCAAAGAGATGCAACATCTCTACGCAGTGCCAATGAGTCAAGCTGATCGGAAAGAACTCGGTCGTCTATGATTCGAACCTCTCTGCGCTGGATGCGGTCAAGTGGAAGGAGCTGGCACTGGGGAGCCCCTGCCCAGAGATAGGAACAGTATTCCATGTGAGGCCGAACCTGCGCCTTGTAAAGTTGCAATCGGTGTGCCGGCATGAAATACTGTCCCACTCTGCTGAGCATGCCAAGCTTTTTAGATTTTGCCTTCTTGACCTTCTCTTCCAAGTGACAACGAAACTGCACGTCACTCGATATATGGACACCAAGGATCCCGATACTGGCTGAGGCAACAAGGGGAGTGCCTTGAAACTGAGGAGATACGACAAAGGGGTTTATTTTAGCGGTAAACGCGCAAACTTGTGTCTTCTGGGGATTGAATTGGACTAGATTTAGTTGACCCCAGTCTGAGACTTTGTTCAACAAAGTTGCGACTTCAGACACAAGTTTGTTCCGGTACTCGGCGACGTTTTCCCGAGAAATATTGGCACGGCCGGTGTATAAAGCATCACCAGTGCTGTCGTCCGCATAGCAATGAATGTTACTGGTTTGCAACATATCATTGATATGCAGAAGAAACAGCGTTGGTGATAGCACGCAGCCTTTTGGAACACCAGCGTTTATGGACTTGTAATCGGAGCTTGCACCGTCTACTACGACCTTGATGCTCCGATCTGCAAGAAAACTGGTGGTCCAATTGCACAATTTCTCGGGAAGCCCATAGGAAGGGTGCTTCGAAAGAAGCGCTTTGTGCCAAACCCGATCGAAGGCCTTTGCTATGTTCAAACTAACGGCCATCGCCTCCCCCTTGGACTCCACTGCCTCCGCCCATCTATGAGTTAGGTAACCTAAAAGATCACCAGCTGAGCGACCTCGACGGAAACCGTACTGACGGTCACTAATCAGCTGGTGATCCTCAAGGTACCGCATGAGCTGGCTGCTAATAATGGTTTCCATTACTTTGGAGAACAAGGAGGTGATAGCAATAGGCCTGTAGTTAGACGGATCTGAGCGGTCGCCTTTTTTAGGGATCGGGTGCGCCAAAGCTGTCTTCCATGAGTTCGGGACTACGCCAATGGAGTAGGAGTACCGGAAAAGACGCGTTAAAACCGGTGCCAACTACCGGAGTACACGTCTTCAGCACAATAGGTGGGACTCCATCAGGCCCACTCGACTTGTTGACGTCCAGGGAGAGGAGTGCTTTACGCACCGAGTGTTGTGTAAACAGCACTTTCTGCATGGAGCACTCACACCGCGGGATGGTAGGCGGTGTGTTCCCCCGGTCATCTAGAGTCGAGTTGGAAGCAAAAAGAGAGCCTAGCAGATCGGCTTTCTCTTTTGCGTCATGGGCCAGTGAGTCGTCCGCCCTGTGCAGAGAGTGCAGAGATGGCTGATAGAAGTTCCCTTGGACAGCCTTGGCGAGAGACCAGAATGCACGTGTTCCCGAAGGGAGGCGAACTAGTTTCTCGCCAATTCTGCCGATGTGCTCTGACTTTGCCTTGGCAATGACACTTTTGAAAGAGCTGGTGGCGGAATTATACTTCTTTTTAAGAGCCCTGGTATTTACATCCCGGGACTTTGATGCGTCAGCCCAGGTTCGGTAGCACTCCTGCTTATAGTGCGATGCAATTTTGCAGGAGTGACCAAACCATGGCTGATTTCTGCCTCCGATAGGCACCACAGATGATGGAATAAATAATTCCATTCCCTGAAGTACCACATCAGCGACATAATCAGCAACAACGTTGGGATCATCCGGCGCGAAGCAAACCCGCCCCCAAGGGTAGAATGCATAAAAAGTCCGCATCCCGTCCCAATCGGCCGACCTATAGTGCCAAACACGGCGGCAAGCTGCAGATCGCAATTGCGATTGGAGCGTGAGTGGCACCGTACTCCGGATCAGACAATGGTCCGAAGAGCCCAGAGGGGCATCGACGGAGACCTGATATCCGTCTGGATGAGAGGTCAGCAGAAGGTCCAACAGGGAAGGTACATGATCCTCCACATCTGGGATCCGCGTAGGCGAAGTAACCAGTTGTGTCAGACCATATGCCAAGGCAAAGTCATAAACAGATCTCCCCGCATGATCGGTTAAGCGTGAACCGAGCCATTCAGCGTGGTGGGCGTTAAAATCGCCAAGAATCACGATCTCTGCGAATGGGACCTGTTGTAGCACGGAGTCTGCAGCCATTTAGACGTGGTCCATGAGTCGGTCTTTGTCGGCATTACCGCTATGGGACCTATAGAGGCACCCGTAGACGCGGGGATGGACGTCGCTGTCTACGCGTAGCCATAGGATGGACAGGTTCGTACCTTCAAGACTGCCGAGGCGTCGAAAACAGATGTCCTCTCTGATGTATACGCAAACTCCAACCCGGGGCACAAAGGAGTGTTCCAATTTGTACCCCGGGTAGGAGAGATATGAAGTATCAGCCGGAGAGGACACCTGAGTCTCGGTTAAAAAGAGCAAGGCCGGCTTCGCCGTGTCTAGATGGTAATGGACAGCGTTAAGGTTGGAATGAAGTCCCCTGGTGTTGCAAAAATTCACGGATTGCGTGACAGGGGTCGCCTTGGTTGTATTGCTCCGCTTGCCCCGAGCAGCATTAGTCGCGAGAGGAATTTTGTCCCCCCCCCCCCCAGAATACGCGGGGCAGCCTGAGCAACCACGCTCAGGAGTGAAGTAGTTTGGTCGTGGATGCTCAGCGAGGGATTCTCCTGGGGTAGTCTTTTATTTAATTCCACTACCATGTTGATGGGGGGGGGGGGGATTGGGCCTCCGGCCACCTGCACTCACCAAGCGCAACGCAGAGGTAAACCTCTACTTCACGCTGGTATTCTGTGAGGTCATGGTACCACCACGGTTCGAGCTGGCCCATCCGTGTGACAGCAAAAGCTACCGCTTAGCTCTACCACTGTTAAAATTCGTATCAATTTCGATATATTTTAAAATGATGTATTAATGAGCAAAACATATAAGAACAAAAGGTGTGGTTATTGTTCCCACCCTTCTTAAAAAGAAGTATAATTCCGCCTCCAGGTCCTTCAAAAGCGTCATTGCCAAGGCAAGGTCTGAGCACATCGGCAGAATTGGCGAGAAGCTAGTTCGCCTTCCTTCGGGAACCCGTGCATTCTGGTCTCTCACCAAGGCTGTCCAAGGGAACTTCTGTCAGCCGTCTCTTCCATCTCTGCACAGAGAGGACGACTCACTGGCCCATGCCGCAAAGGAGAAAGCTGATCTGTTGAGCTCTCTTTTTGCGTTCAACTCGATTCTAGATGACGAGGGGAACACATCGCCGACCATCCCGCGATGTGAGTGCTCCATGCCGGATGTGCGGTTTACACAGCGCTCGGTTCGCAAAGCACTCTTCTCCCTGGACGTCAGCAAGTCGAGTGGTTGGAGCTTACACCTTTCTAAAAGGTCGGCAACACATCTGCAATTCCCCTGGTGTTGCAGTTGTTCATGGACGGCGGTAGTCACTTACCATCAGGTGAGCCGCATGCTCGTTTGCCCCATCTTCTATATAAAAAAAAATTCGACACAAATAAATATCGATATATCGTGATCAAAAATATCGATGATATATTTCGATATTTTTTGCCCAAGCCTACTGTACTGTAGTCAAAAGTCGTTGTCAATTGTCATTTTCCTTTGTTTCGGATTTCGGTTTCGGAATGTCTAGGTTAAAATAAAAATTATGTATATTAGTATTTCCTTTTATCTGATTAGTATATAATGTGCACAAATCCACCACCACCACCACCACTACCACCTCCAGCCAATTTATCTCTAAGTAAAAAATTGGAGCGAAGTGAACCAGCTAACGAAATAACAGATTACTCCAATGTTTGTGAATGGGCCTCAGATAACCCACAATTGTGGGAAGTATGTGCCAAATATCAAATTTGCTTAAACCAAGAACCCTACCGTTACACCTATAGAAATTTTGAATCAATATTGCAAGTAGGACCTACGTGTGGTTTGGTAGCTTTGTCGATGCTTATAGGAGGTGAAGTTACTCCCGACGAACTCCTTAATATAACGAAAATGGAAGGGTACAGCAATAACGGGGAGATGTTAAGTTGCAAGGATATGGCAAAGTTAGCCGAGAAAGCATTCAGCTTAGCTGAGATAGATATTCCCTATACTTTAAAAAAAGGCGGGCTTTTTAGCATTGAAACCATACAAAATCTATTAAATGGTGCAATTTTGTTAGTACCGTATCCTTTTCAAATAATTCACTTAGTAATAAAATCATTAGTAGTAAACCTTAATATATATATATATATATATACTAGCTGGCCAGGTAGACGTTGTTCTGCTCTTTTCGACGACCCTTCATATAAAAAATCCTTAAATTCGTAATAAAAAAATATTGAGTGTCACTTATCAGGATAAAAACTATCCTATATCTCAAGTTGGACTGAACTGCACAGAGTGTGCAAAATTTCATTGAAATCAGTTCAGTAGTTTAGTTCATCGCAGACAAACAATGTGACACGTAATTTCTACAGATATATATATATATTTTTGTTGTTAAATCAAAGAGTATAACATAAGTCGAAAAAATTGTCTCGGTTTTCATATCTATCTCTTTATCTCTTTCATAGCTATCTTAAAATGTTTTAAATGCATGTATAGAGAATTAGAAAGATCTCTTAAACAGAGACTAGACTTCTGAATAAGATAAAAAAATAAATTGTATTGATAAATGTTAAGTATACACCTAATTCCTTTAACAGATATATGTAACAGTTATGATGCAGATTATAATCACTCTCCTTGTCTCAGACAAGGTCACACAGCTCACTGGGCACTGGTTTGTGGAATAATCATCATCGAGGATCCAGGAGAGTCCTATACCTCTAATCCTAATAATGTCTATGTTCTATGTAGGCATGGAAAATCTCGATTCCTTGCTGCTTGGACACTCGATGAACTGAATAGAAGTAACATGAATTTATGGGAATTCTCACCAAAAAAAGCAGAAGATGGCCTGTTATATGTGCTTCCAAAGGGAGGGATTGGAGGAGAAAACGGATTAAGGGAACAATTTATAATGTTCAATAGTCTCTAAGTGAAAGTTATGTAGTTTTTATTGTTGTTAAGATGTAGTGATCATTTTTAATTAAATTATCTTCTTTAATATAAAATTTTATACTTTTTACAACTTTACACTTGCTTTTAGTTAATTATTTAATTTATAATTCAAAAAATATACTTAAATATTTAGTGTGTTATTTGTATTGGATAATTGATAATATCCATAAAATAATTTATTGGAATGTTGTATGTAATAGAATTTTATGTTATTGTATAACTGTTATATTTTATAATGTTTTATAAATAAAATAAAAAACTTATTTTAATGCAAAATTTTATTTGTACAATAAATACAAAATCATAGTTTGCAAAAATTATGACAAATAATAAATCTCATCACTTTAATTAAAGATATAGTAATGTCAGAACACATTTAAATAAATTGCAACATAAATAATAAGAACTGGAGATAGCATTCAGTCCAATTATTGCACTATTTAATCAAATTCAGGGTAGACATAATTTGAAAACATTATTTTTTACTTTTGTACTAATTTATTAAACTTAAATTCTCAATTATGCTAAATAAAATCAATCAACACAATTGTTATTTGTTACAAGGATAAATTGTGATGAATAATAAGTATACAATTTTATTGCATCAAATATAAATTCTAAAATACATTCTTGTTTCAACATCAATTAGATTAAAATTGGCATAACATTGCCAAAAAATTATTTAAAAGATACATTTGCCAAATCAGTCAGCATGTACGAGATCAAATCATATAAAGAAACATATATTTTATAATCCCATTACTAATTACTGTTACAATATGAATATACAAATTACACCATAACACACTGTTGGCTAGGCCTCTAAGCAATAACTATTGGAAACTTGAGCTTCTTTTTGTTTTAACTGCCAATATTATTCGATAATGGCACTATTTAAGCTTTTATTGACAATAATTGAAAAAAGATTTTTCAGATATTTCCCTTGTAAGGATTTTTAGCAGCAGCCTAGCAGTTTAAAAAAATCAGTTACAATTAACGATAATTACGATATCCATTACACAAAGTATATTATTGCGTATTTTTTTATAATATTATTGAAAAACTTCACATGTATAGATAGCAATACATTAATAAACATTGAATAATACAAAATAAAACAATGAATTTATATGTCACTTTATTTTCAAACATTATTCAAATAATTGAATAAGTAACTAACATATGTACTGCAATTTGTGCCATATATTATCACTTCATTGTATTAATTTATTTATAATGGCAACATTTCTAACAATTATAAAAACATTTTATAGTTAGTAATACTAAAAACGACGAAAAAATATAAAACAATAAATAATTATCTGGATGGTTGAAATTTATAAGTGACCACTGCAAGTACACAAACTTTTTCGAAAAGATATAAGCTAAATCTATAAATAACCTCTTGAGATAATGTGTTCTTAACAAAGAAAGTAAATACAGTCAAACGGTTAGCCACATTTTTCGAAAGTAATCAAATGTACATAAGTACACAGAACAGTATTTGCATTTAACCTTAAGAATCAAAAATGCAGAATGCTTGTCACCCTCTTCCTCCTCAGACTAAGTTCGAATGCCTCATTTCCAGTAAGATGGGTCTCCGGTTGTCTACACTCACCGTACGTAGCACAGTAGTATTAAGCTAGTAGTAGCCCTTCCCGGTCGAGCCGACCTATTCAAGCTACAACTTATTCAAGCTATATTATAGCTGCAGTGTGGCTCCAACGTCTTAAGATTAATGATTTGTACAAGAAAGAATTTTAAAAGTTAAGAAGTAAAGATTGTCTAAGCATGGGTTAGGTTAGTTGGTTGTTGTGTAGCACAGCAAACTACCAATCTAGTTTGATAACATAATCATATAATATTTTATTAATTAATTTTCTTTTGAGGGAATTATTATATTTAATCGCAACTAAGGAGAAACTCAGCAATCCAAGAAATATTGTGATTGATCACAAAGCAAATAATATCTCACACTGATATAGGTACCTAAAATGTAAAACTAGTTTAGTCAAAAAATATTTCAATAACAAATAAAACGGTCTGTGAAAACGTAAATAGCAGATGCAACACATAATTTTCTATTTCATTAGACTCTACTAGACGTGCTTTGAATAATTAATGCCATCATTAATTTCTATTGTTGTTTTTTTAATTGGTAGAAGTGTTGCCAGTTTTCAAGCATTTATTTAATACAGAAATAACTTACATTTCCGGCGACATTTGCACAAATCGAACGAGACTAGACCAGTATTACTTAAAAGCTTACAATATATTTAAACATACACTCTAGATAATTGGAAATGCATCGATTACAATTTATATCATCTTATGCATATTAGTAGCCACCACGAAGAGCCCTGATAATAAAATAAAAATTTGAATTTATTGCTAGACATTGAGCAGTTATTTTTGAGAAATATTTCCCTTTTACATCTATTTTAAATAAAATGTACATTAATGTACAAATATCAAACATTATTAAATAAGGTGTTTAAACATAGCTTAATAAAAATGTTTTTGTGTGTCAAGGCATTTGGGAGGTGGTGGAGCGTAATAGAATCCATCATCTTATTTAGTCCCGTGGGTGTCGTAAGAGGAGACGAGCTGAACGAAACCTATGGCTTCTGATAGATTTCTTAGCGAATTGTTGTCTACTATAATGGGCTTAAACTTTCAGTGATCTTAACTAATACACATAAGCGGCAGATAGCCGACCAGCGACATACTTTTATTTTTAATAATTAATATAGATAAGGTTATAAGAAATCGGATATATAGATTATTGACACAATTTTATGATATAGGTAGGTACATTATTAGATAAGTTAAATGAATTCCAGATGCTATAACAAATAATGCAATTATACCATATGTTAGGAATAGCTTTTAAAATATCTTTTGTCACACTAAGTATTATTTTTAACATGCCCGATTAAATATTTAATACTCGATGTATAAAGGGTATTTAATAAATTATTTTAATGTCATAGTCAGCACTGCAACTCTTCATATGAGTTTAAACTTTCATTCGTTATAAAAAGGAGAGTAAAATATCAAAAAAATATCTTACTGGTAACACAGAAACTCAGCCAGCACCAGATTTGCACCCAAAAATTAAAACCGTACTTAAAATATACAGTATATATATTTTTGTATAAAAACGTTTTCACCCTCATAATGGTAACACTGACAAATATATTGCCTGCAGTTCCTAACACAATGGTATAATACATATAATATATATAATGGCATTCATACTACACACCTTTTAAATTTGTGAAAGACGGCTTATAATGTATTTTCTGAAAAGCGCCAAAGTAATTGGACGTAGATACGCAAAATGGATCCAATGCATAAACAGCTACTTTTGAGATATTGATATTTAAGAAAACCGGAGACCCTCTTTACTGGAAACATGGTATTGCATCTTAGTACAAGGATGACAACGCATTTGAATTTTGGTTCTTAATCGAGGATAGATGTAAAAAAAATTGAAGTTTGGTTCCATGCTTGCTTCGATTTATTTGTAAGTACTAATATTTGTTGGTGTTTTTTTCAGTAGTAAATAGAATTTAAACCTTGGAATCTAAAGATTATTTTGGCATATTTTACACATTTTTAATGAATTCTGGTTAAAATTTTTTGCGCAGATACGTCCAGTACAATTTTACACTTCATAAATATATCAATGTAAAATATTAAACAATAGCTACTACGTTTATATTACATAATTCAAACGCATGATGCGCTACAAATACACAAAAATATTGTCGTAGTGTTTCATTGTGTATGTTACCAGTAACGCCCGAAGAACGAGTAAACCTAAGTTTATTCGACGTTTTCGTTGAAGTCCAAATAATTTATATATTATATAAATGTCCACGGCTATTGAGTGCCGCATCTTAACCTATTATCGCTGATATTTCTTGATATGTGATTTTGTATTTTTGAGAAAATTAACAGTAGTTATGTTAATTATTATCCAGACTTTATCCAACCTAAACCTAGGTTTACTATTTCTTAGGTGATTACCCGTAATATGTACACATTTATTATGAATGTGGTCATGTTTTGTTTGTTACTATAAAACCTTATCAAGATTGAATTTTGCTCTGAAACACATTATTAGAATAATTGATATGCAGTAAAAAAAACAAATAGTATTACAGATTTCCGCTTTAAAGTTAAACAAGGATCTATCCCTAAAGATGATAATTCCTCTTATTTTTGTATTACTAGAAATAAAATAGCATTTAGCACAATAAAACGTTTCGTTATATATTTCGTGAACCATTTAAATTTGGCACGATCAAATACGCGTTTTAATCAGTAAAAGCTTCGAGAAATCGGACAGTTTGGAAGATCAGAACGCGGTCTTCGTAGTCTCTAACGGAGACTATTCTAATTTACGACGTATAAAGCGAAACCGATATCCGACTCGGATATCCAACACGATATCCGTGATAATTATTTACACACGCCCTTATAAACTCACACAGCCACGTAAATAAAACCCTAACATTCTTCTAAATATACATAAATTATGTAAGACTGAGATTATTAAAAACTACGATATAAATGGAACAGTCGTTGTCGTCCAGTTGCCGGCGTTGTTGATTCAAATCAATTAGCAATCGAAACAAACGCCTCCTCAGTTTGGCTCGGAGTTAATTTCAAATACCTTAACGTTGGCGAAAATAAGGTTAGAATACATATATCACACCGTTAAAATATTAGAATAACACGACAAACTTAAGAATGCACCTTTATAACGTAAGCATGTAATAATAAAAGACAATCTTACACACTTCGCATTACTATTGGACACTTGTAATTATGAAAATGTTTTCGATCTTTCGTTAGTAACACACAGAGTATAGTTTCTTTAACAATTTCCCTGACCGCGAAACAGACACAATTGTTAAACAATTGAGATGTTCATATAATATGATTCATGGGACAGGGAAATGGTTA